GACAAGTATGAATGTTTCATTTTAGGTATAGTGTGGGTGCACCATAATAACTGAAGTATTCTGTAACTTAACAAAAAGTACAATATGATTCTTTTTTTTGTAAATTTTCATTGATAATATTTTGAGTAATGCAAAAACTGTTTCCGTAATTAATAAACGACATTTAAATATTTTAATTGTTCTCGCGGAAGCTACGCAATCGGAATTAATTAATTATCGTCGATATCGAAAATGCAGAGAATATCGAATGGAAATAATTGGTGTCACCCGAAATCCACACCACCCTTCCTCCCCCACTCTGCAGCTTTTCCGTGAATGTTTTTAAAGCCCAATTAGCATAATTTCTCTACACCCAAAATAAAATTGCACAATTATAATATAAATTTAATCACGTTAAACGCGCAATTCGTATTTTATTTTAATTACTACCGGGAAATTTAATTGCGAACGTCGATCAAACGCAGCACGTTTCGCCTCTGACAACAACAAAAAATTAATGGAAAACGATAATCTCCTACTGGTAGGTAACTAGCCGCACCTTGTCCCAATATGGATGGACACGTTGCATTTTCAAAATTCATTCATTTATTTATTTACAAACGTTTAACTTTTACACGAAGATAAATATTACTTTTCTTTTTCACATTAAGTAGGGCTTTCTCGTTAAACGCGTTAATTGGCGCCTGCTCTCGTAATACTCTTCTTCTCCTACTTTCGAAACCGAGGGTAAATAAATAACAACGTCGTTGTTGTCCTTGTTTTGTTCATCCTCAGACCGTCTATCCTCAATCGATACTAAGATTCTGACTGTCTTTCATTGCACATTTACAATCTGATTTAGTTGCTCAATCTTTTATACTTACAAATTTCAAAGTTTGTAAAGATTATTATATAATATTACAATAAATTGAAATTTGTAAGTAGATTATTTTAGTGAAATTTTTGTATTTTTTCGGACTATAAGACACACCTCAAATGTATTTATTGTATTACCATGAGACTCGATCCAATTTTAATTAATTAAATGTAGATGTAGAAATTAGATTTGGCTACAAAATAATATTTTAACTTGAAATAATTCATTGGTTGGGGATAGTTGTATCTTAAGATCAATGATACTTTGTAGATGTTCAAATGGAGTAAATGTCTAAATGATATACACAGTATGTTTGCAGGTCAAGTGAATAAGAAAACAGAACTTTTGGCTGCAAATCCTCGACCCCACGATTATGACGAGATTAAAACGCCCCGTAGTCGTGCCGCAATCCGCAGTAGCGGATAATGCGCTGAATGAGACAGTTATATAATCCTCCTGCTGTGGAATTATATACCTTGTACACTCTACTCTTAACACAACAACTATTTATAATCAACCCAAAATTTGGATAAGACGCATTGTTCGTTGCAAATTTAGAAATGTGAATTTTATACTTTAACTTTTAAAAATTAAAAAAAAATATATTAAAAGATTTAAATTACAAATTTTGTTGTTTATAATTATTATTGTTTTAGATAAATAAATATTAATAAATGAATGAAATTCATTTAATGAAGCAAATATTAATTATATGAAGCTTCTATGGAATACTTAAGAAGTATTGTTTAAGTAAACATTTTACGAGTGTAAACAGTTTGTTTGATTACATAATATCTAGTTAAATGCATCTTAATTACCCATGTTGTATTTATTTACAAACATTAATTAAAATTCTTCTGAAGAAGGAACGATTATGCAAAGTTATTCAATTAAAAAGAAAACATAACAAGCAATTTCGCGAATTGTTAAATACCGTTTTTTTTTGTTGTAGTTACATCAAAAGCATTAGTTGATTTCTTATAAATTTACGTTTTACTTTGATCAAACTGTGTATTATCATCTATTCCAAACGTTGATTAGATAATGAAGACTGGAGCGCTGTCACGTTTTTCGTCCGAATCATCATATTTAATTGCTGTGAAATATTTAGGTAAACGAAGTAATCAAATATTTAGGTTCTGAAGGTTACGGCAATTTTCCCGAAATATGATGATTCCAACCGATGCATTATTGAAACGCCACAATCGAAACTGTTTCATAATAGATGCCTATCGTTGTACTGAACTACCATTAGGGAATATATAAACATAGAAATACAGGTAAACCGAATCCTAGATTCTGAATCTTTCTTTATGCGTTTCTCCAAACTCTGATGATTCAGAATTACTCATCACCGCAAATAACTTTATCGCAATATTATTCAGAGTTAATCTTATTTACAAATATTTCTTCTCCAATTACTATGATAACGCCTACAGTTCTGACGTCAATGAACTTTTATTGTTTGTCAAAGAGAAGCAAACTATTTTTGTTTCATTAATAAGAATAAACGAAATGGATGAATGAAATCATTATTGTTGTCTTTATATTTGAAAAATATGATTCAATAATCCAACAGAAAAATAAAATTACATCATCATGTAAAGTATATGAATATTATATAACTGGATGTCTTTTCATTATAAAAATTGCGCTTCAAAGGCAATCTAATTTAGTTGGAGATTTAATAAGCTTTCGTTTCTTTTTTAGAAAAAAGAAAAACATGAAACCTCGTGTAATAATGCACTAATAATCAAAGCTTTGTAGACGAAACATTTTTTGTTTTGCAAATACTAATTATATTCAAAACAATTCGAATGACATTGCTATTGACATATTACATAATCTGCGTGAATTGCGAAGGTTGCGCATATTTTTAAACCAATTTAATAAATGTATTTTTCATTTTAATAATGCGCCTCTGTTCCAGTATTGATTATGTTATGGCATCCCAATTGGATCTTTAAAGAATTTTACATTATTTCCCTTGATATTTTGGATATAAAATATTGGTTTATTACTGATTGAAAAATAAAATATGAGAATATTTTATACACAAATTTCCTATTTGTAACTTAACTTCAATTTTTTATGTTTAATTAAAAGATTTTTTTTATTTACAGTGGAACCTCGCATAACGAGTTAATTGTAAGAAAAATTACTTAACGAGCGACGTTTCGCATAAAGAGTGACGATGAGAAGAGATGTCCCGGATTGCGCGCCTGAATATGTTTCACTATACGAGTAAAAATCCGGAAATTTTGGAACGGTATAAACTCGTTCCACTGTATTTGAAACAAGTATTATGATTGCATATTTTAGTTATACAATAAATTTAAATTGATTTTTTTTTTATATAACTTTAACTAATATTATATATTCATGAAAATATGGATGAAACCAATGTAATAACGAGTAATATTTTTAGTGGAAATTCCAAAATGATTTAAATATGTGATGAGTGTATAATGTGAAAATGAATTAAACTTTCAGGTTTTATTGAAATATTGAGTTCGGATGTAGCTGGGATGGAAACATTGAAATACATATGAAATTGATATTTTCAACGCGATAAAAAAAAATGAACGCTCGTGTATATCATAGAATAAAAGAAGATCAAACAGAGTAATATGCAAGAACTGCAATCTTCGCTGAAGCGAAATACGAGACAATGCAATGCATCTGTCGAACGGAAAATGCAATTATAAACGTGATCGACTTGAATTTTCAAACGGGAACGATCATTTCCAGCGGAATATTTCATGAGCTCGGAAGACGAATGACGCTTTTAAAACCGGTGGCATTTCCTTTTTTTTTCGAAATAGTCCCTCCTTGATAAACATCGTGTCGTGTTCATTTTGTTTGTCAATGCCATCGATTGGGATATATCCTCTACTCGGAGAGAGAAAAGTTTTCTCGGTGCGGCCACGAAGGCGGCAAATATTTGCTCTTCAGATAATGTAGCATTAAGTAATTTGTTTGTCTTATAGCGAGTCTTTAGCGCACGCCAAAAGGTTACGAATATTATTATTTTTTTTTGTTTAATGTTGGATAGTATATTATTCTTATTATAACATAGTTATGAGTTAAGAACAAATTGCAACCCTGAATTTGTGTGTTTTTTTTTTCTGTGAGGGGGGACGGTCGTTCGGGGCGTCGATAAGGGGCGCCCGCGCTTCGGACAAGAGCCGCCCTCTGTTGAAAACGTTTCGCACAATGCACATGTGGCTCCGCATCCAAAAGAATAGCAATAAGCCCCAGACCCAAGTAAACTTTTACTCTGTCGGCAAATCGCTTGAAATAACTGCATAGGATGGAGAGGGATGTGAAATTTATTTATTTTACAAAGTATATACATTTTCTGGAATATTTATACTAATTAGGTACAAAGCTAAATTTAAAAAAATATATGAATTTACGCGTGGTTTATGGCTATTCTTTGTTGCGTTTTCTGCGATTCTAATGCTTGGATTTTAACTAGTTAGGGTAGAGGCAAGTCTGCGGCGCTAGGGAGCAATGGTATATGAGGGGATGTAACAGGCTATCGTAGGGTTGTGGAATGGTGACGATGACTGTACGAAGATGAATGGCAGGGATAGGTACAGTCCCGGGAAAGGGTGCCGGTGAATGGTACAATCAGACTACCCTAGGGGACATATGTTTGCGCCGCGTACTGTCTCCGACCCAGAAAGTGAATTTACCGAGGACAAAAAAAAACAATAATAATAATATTAAAGGAAATTGATTATCCTTCTGTAATTCCATTCGGTAAATGCGAAATCAATGAGGCCTAAGGAGCGACGCCGAGGTTCCCCCTTCGTAAGAATGCTACACGCCACGCCACTGATCTAACTTAGCAGACACACAACACAGAAAAGGCCTCGTGAAGTAACTCATTTATACCAGGCGAAACAAATGACTACAAAAGCCGAGCAACGATAATAACGTTGAATTCAATCAAAATAGTAAAGAAAAATAAGTGAAATTGCAGTAAAAGCAAACTGAAAAACTTGCACACATGTGTTCAGAGCCTAAAACTCAAACAACGCTCAATGCGGTTGCCGGGAGTAGGATATAGTTATAGGACTGGGGGAGGGTTGAAATGGTATATGTAAATACGTATTGAACAAAATGTAAAATTCACCCCCAAACGGAATTCGCAAACAACTGATCGCCTCCGCAGCTACGTAGCAAAACCAAACTTTTCCAATCTTCTTGTTGCGTAGCACCACTTTTTTTCTTTTATTTCACACCAACGAGATTCTTTCACTCCGCGTACAAAGAAAACAACACAGACGCGCTTCGAGGTTAGGTTGGGTGTAGGTTGTTCGATGGGATAGCGGGAATCGAACTACTGTCTCCCGTGAGAGCGTGGTCGTTGCACGTTTTATTTTTGTTTATTAAATGTTTCTTGTCGATGTTTATCTTTAATACATTTTTCTTTTTGGTCCTTTAATTTAAATCACTGGTCCTGTCGCGCTTCTTTCAGGTGCACTTCTTGTTGAGGAGTCGCGGTAAGTTTGTTTAAGCAAGAAGAAAAGCGCGTCTCGATGGAAGGTCGCGAGAACCGGCGTTCGTACACTTCTCTTCAACAGTACAAGAGACCAACTGATCCAACATCGAACTGAACCAACGCCGGAATAGTAAAACCTGCTTCACCCCACCCTGGTACGCGCTCCAAGCTATGCGCAAGACCACCTGAATCCATTGGCGTACGATGAGGAAAAAAAAAAGAAGAAACATAAGAAGTCACTTGTCAAGTACATGCACTTGGAAACTTGCACAGGTATAACTTGATATCATATAACATCATCAGCTTATAAATTTAATTTTCTTTAAATCATATGACTTACGCAAGTAATTGCACTCGTATCCTTACGCAATCGCTTGGCGTGCAGCCGATATGCAATATTGAAAGAGGGAAGAATGGACGAATATTGTATAGACGCTCGACAATAACTATATTTTATGGGTGGACAACTGTACCCAAACGCTAGGGGATAGACAACTGTTACTCTGCAAAGGAAGAAAATAAAAATCGAACTCAAGCGAAACCAATAAATCATAACAAATTTATAAATTATTTCACATCGAGAACAAAAATAATGAAAAAAATTTATATTGCAAATTTTATAGATACAAAAATATAAATAAAATAATAAATAATTGAAAGATTATTGTTTTCTTGATGAAAAGTTTGAAAATAAAGACAATTTAATTATCAAGATGGACAAAAACACAAGGTTTCATTTAGTTGTGAATTGTATTATTATTTTGCTTTAAATAAATTGGAATAATTAATTAGCCACCGTGTATGAAATTAGTTAATTAATTAATTAATTAATTATAAATCTGCGTATTATTATTATTGTTCATATTAAAGGATTTACAATATATGAATTAGATTAATGACATGTTAATCTGTATATAATAATCAAATAAATAATTGGCATTTATATTTCCTAGATTATTGCTATATGAATGTTCTTGCGTTGAAATTCATTAATAATAGAAGGTCTCGGTATTACATGTAGTTGTTATTCAACGAAACAATGATTCATTGCGTTAACATTGTGGAAGTACATAATTCATTTGAAAAAAAAATATATATCTATATCACGTTATAAAAATATGTACTTTCAATTAAATTAAATTAAAATTTTGTTTATTTTTATCAAGTTTTTCTTATAATTTGCCTATTGACCCATCCAAATAATGATTTTGCTTAACTAATTTAATATAAATATATAACTAAATTTTAGATATTTCATATAATTTTTTTCTTAACGCAAATCTATATTGTTTCTAAAATTATTTCAATAATTTAATCATCTAATCCAGTGATGGATTCCGACCAAGTCGCAAATTTTAAAACAATAATATATAAATTTTTTTTTTACTTATTTTACAACGTTTGTACATGATCTAAGTATAATAAATAAAATATTATTTTACAATAAAATATTAATAATATTTTTGTCTGCTTTTGTTTAATTTATTTTTTTGCTGGCAACCAAATTACAACAAAATTCCATACATCATTTTGTCTACACGATATTTACTTAACTCTGCATATATTCAAACAGAAAAAGAAAACTTGATCTCAAGTGCTTTGCGTGGTTTTACTTATTTATCATTAGCGTTTTATTATTAATACTGTTTACCGATATTCTACCTGATCAATAGTCTCCAGACCCACGCAAAATCCTTTTATTTAAACGAATGTTTAATCTCCAGCAAAGAAATTCATTGATATTTGCATTTCCTATATTTTATATTTATTAATTTAATCAATTTCATTATACTGAAATTTATGAATATTCACATTTATTAATCAAAATGGATATTATATATATATATATACTTGTTATTCAACCAAACAAATGATTCATTGCATAAACAATGAACTTGTGCATAACGAAATTACACAGAAAATTCGTAATGCATTAACTGATTAAATATTTAACATAAAAAAAATGATGGGAATTACGATTTAATAAATTTAATTATTATTTGTTAATGTTATAACTTCCATTTATTGAAAAATTGTATCTGTAAATGTTATATTTTTTTATTTTGATCAATGGGTCGGCAAATTCGCGGCTCCGGAGTGGAAAATTAGCGATCATAATGCGGCTCTCTGGACTTAGTTTTTAACAGGCAACATCTTAAAACCGGTTCTTTGTTCCAAAAAGGTTACTAACCACTTGTTTACACAAAACTTATTGAAATATTTTTAATTATTTAAGAATATTGTTAAATTATTGATATTTTATTATTAATCAATGTTCTGTTCGAAAGTTATTACTTCCATTTATTGAAAAATTGTATCTGTAAATGTATAACTTCATACTTTGATCAAAGGGTCGGCAAATTTGCGGCTCCGGAGTGTAAAATTAGCGATCATAAGGCTACATGCGGCTCCCTGGACTTAGTTTTTAACAGACAACATCTTAAAACCGGTTCTTTGTTCCAAAAAGGTTACCACTTGTTTACACAAAACTTTTTGAATTATTTTTAATTATTTAAGAATATTGTTAAATTATTGATATTTTATTATTAGTTCTGTGGTTTTTCTTAACGAAAGTTGAAATAAAATTTTAAAAAATAATAAATCTTTAAAAGAACAAAAGGTTGTATTAGCTTGATTATAGCGTAAATTTATTATTGAAATCAATGTTCTGTTCGAAAGTTATTACTTCCATTTATTGTATCTGTAAATGTTATAACTTCTTACTTTGATCAAAGGGTCGGCAAATTCGCGGCTCCGGAGTGTAAAATTAGCGATCAAAAGGCTACATGCGGCTCCCTGGACTTCGTTTTTAGCAGGCAACATCTTAAAACTGGCTCCTTGCTCCAAATAGGCTACTAACCACTTGTATACACAATATTTATTGAAATATTTTTAATTATTTAAGAATATTATTAAATTATTGATTATTTTTATTATTAGTTCTGTGGTTTTTCTTAACGAAAGTTGAAATAAAATTTAAAAAAATAAATAATTTTTTAAAAGAAAAAAGGTTGTATTAGCTTGATTATATCGTAAATTTATTATTGAAATCAATGTTCTGTTGGAAAGGTTCGAATTGAATACACAACAAATAAACAATCTATTTAACTATATGCTCACTCATTTCAATTGCAGCATAACGAGCGTTGCGTGTTGTTATATATATATATTTTTACGTTGTTGTTGTTTTACGTGTTTGTTAATTATTTTAAAACAATTGCAATGTCTACGCAATGAAAACGGATTGCAATTGAAATTGAATTATATTTCATTTTGTTTATTACTACTCATAAAATGCCCGTTTCGCGTTTTTTTGTTGTTTAATTTAAAAAAAAATAAAAACTCATTCGAGTGTTTATTTAAAAGAAAATATGCAAAATTTTGCAAACGTGAAAATAATAAAGATTTACTTTTTGTTTGACTACAGCATTTTGCACTTGTTCCTTTTAGGTAGAAATACTAAGCGATTGTGTTTATGTGGAAAATCGAGTAGAAACAAGGGTCAATACACGCAAACAAGACAGAACAGGTACACGAGCCCTTTCAGAAAAAAA